CTATATCCCCGGCCCCGATACTATTATTATTAATTTTTTTTTGGTCTTTTTGAGACAGGATCTCACTATGCAGTTCAGGCTGGCCTTGAGCTCATTTTGTAGCCCAGGCTGGTTTCGAACTCTCAATGATCCTCCTGCCTCAGCCTCCTGAGTGCTGGGATTACAGGCGTGTGCCATGCCCGGCTTTACTTTTCTTGATAATGTCTTCTAAAGTGTAAAAGTTTTATTTTAATGTCAAATTCACCTGTTTCTTTTGGTTACTTGTATTTTGTGTGTCATGTCTAAGATACCATTGCCCAATTCACAGTCATGAAGACTGATACCTGTGTCATCTTTTCCAGTTTTAACTCTTATTGAGGGTGTAACTAACCCATTGCATGTGAATATCCACTTGTCCCAGTACCACTTATTAAAAAGAGATTTTTTTCTATTGAGTGGTCTTGGTACTTGCATTGAAAATCACTTGACAGTAAATACAAGGGTTTATTTCTAGACCTGAATTCTGTTCCATTGCTCTATATGCTTGGCTGTGCTGGTAGACTAGAGTCTTAGTCATTGACATTTTGTAGTACTTGTGTTTTTGGTTTTGTTTTGTTCTCTTTCAAATTAAAATTTTTTTTCTTGTGGTAGTGGGGATTAAACCCAAGGCCTTTGCACTGAACTACATTTCCATTCCTTGAAACAGTATCTCACTAAGTTGCCCAGACTGGGCTCCAACTTTCAGTCCTCCTGCCTCAGCCTCCCAGGGTGCTAGGTTACAGGTCTTGCATCACCATACCTGGCTTTCATTTAACTTTGTACACTGATCTTTTTATTTAATGGCTTTTTATTTTGTTTTCTATAGATTATCTTGTCTTTTTCTTTTTTTTTGTCCTTGAGACAGGGTCTTGCTATACAGTTCAGGATGGTCTTGAACTCACTTTGTAGCCCAGTCTGGTCTCAAACTCCCAATGATCCTCTTGCCTCAGCCTCCTGGGTGCAGGGATGACAGGTGTGTGCCAGTATGCCCAGCTAGGAGGTTGAATGTTATCCAGTATTTTTTCTGTTTCTACTGAGGTCTTTTTTTTCCTTTGGTTATTAAGAAAATACAGTTTTCTAATATAAACTGATGGAGACCACTACAAAGCAGCCGGAGCAGGACTTAAATTAACCAGTTGGCTTTTCATGTTTACTTGTGAGTCTGTCCAAGGCCTAGGCTCCTTGTCTGGAGATGGGCGGTGGACTCATAGTAAGTGAACCTCTGTCAGTCACTCATCCCTGCTAAGGCATTTAATGGCAGATGAGGCTGAAAGCCTCAAAGAAGACAAGATTGCATCCAAGGACACCTGGATCCAGCCTCAACTAGATAAAGACAGTAACCTCAGGCATCTCACTCCTGGGTGGATTAACTTAATACCTTACTTAGAGAAGTCCTTGAGTGGTGCCACCCTACCCGAGTACTTCACTCCCTTCTTCTGATAACTAAATAAATGCAGGCCACCCAACAAGGTCTTGGTCTTAGCCCTGAGAGAATCTCAAATTCTGTGAGAGGGTTCTGATCCTCCTGGAGCCCTAAAATCATTCCATTTGCCTCTTTTTATTTAGCCTTCCCATACACTCGTTCAGGAGATTGCGGACCTGATCAGCCCATGATAACTAAGGGATATTGTTAATTAACTGAGTATTGTAATCCTGTAATGAATTTAACTAGGTCTTAATGTGTAATTTTTTTTGTATATTGCTGGATTCTCTTTGCTAATATTTGGGGTTTTTTTGGGTGTGCCTCTGGTCATGTGTAGGTTGTCATTTTTCATTATTCATACTGTTTTGTTTTGTTTTGTTTTGTTTTTTTCTGAGACAGGGTTTCTGGTAGCCCCGGCTGTCCTTGAACCTGTGGCTATCGTGCTTCCTCCGCCTCCTAGGGGCTGTGGTATAGGTGTGTGTCACTATGACCAGATTCTCATACTGTTGTTGACTGGTTTTGCATGTGTGTACTAGTTATTATGCTGACTTCATAAAAATGAGTTAAATATTCTCTAGGAGAGTTTGTGTGAGATTGAATGCCCCTTTCTTAAATGTTTTGTACTTAGCCGTTGCCTTGCAGTGATAGGGACTGTTTCACCTACAAGTATGGAATATATTTTTGACTTTGTGGGACGAGACTGTAGAAGAGTGCATTCCATTTCTGTAGCTTCTGTCTGAGCTCTTGGCTAATGCAATGTTACAGTATAGCTAGCTAGCTGTAAGGTCATTGATTTACTGTGGGACAGAAATAAAATTGTCCTGCCACAGATAAGCCATCATAATGACAGCTAGAGATGGTATCTGGTTTCAGGAGTGTTTTGATTTTTTTTTTTCTGTAGTGCAGACAGAAGGGCAATTTCCAGTGTGTAGACTAATAATTAAATTGTTATTTATCTTACAGAAGTGATAGATCTTACTCATGATAACAAAGATGATCTTCAGGCTGCCATTGCTTTGAGTCTGTTGGAGTCCCCCAAAATTCAAGCTGATGGAAGAGATCTTAACAGGTTATTGCTTTAATTTATAGTCTTTCCTCATCACATTTATGTGTAGGTCAAAGGCAGTGCCATTCAGGAATAATTCTGCTAGGTACCTTTAATGGCACCTGAATGAGATTTCTTTTGGGAGAGGCAGTGTATGTTAGTTTACTTTACTTTTTGGCTTATTTTAGAAAATAGAAGAATGTCTGAGTAGAAGCTTGCAGTTGTGTAGTTCACAGTTGCTAGCAGAAAACAAGAGCCTAGTTCCATGTATCTAGTAAGCAGTATTCATTCCCCTTACCAACTTTAAGGGTGTGCTGTTGGGTATTTTTACATGGAAGGGATCACTCAACTATCCCGTCTCAGGAGTGGCCGGAGGGTATCTTACTGGAATTGTTACTGGTTTGGTGATTATCTGATGCCGCTCGCTGGGAAACATCCATTTTCATTGGTGGTCTGTCAGTTTCTGTCCTTTATTCCCTTTCACTGCTGAGCTGTATCCTTCAAGGATTGAAGGGCGGGCTGTTGTTTGTGGGACTGTTTGGAGGCTCTGTGCTTCCGCAGTGTCTCTTGCCCTTTCCCTTAGAAGTGCTTGGGTGGGGCATTGTGCTTGACCCGGACATTTGCATGCAGTGTTATAGCCGTAACTGGTCTTCACTCTCAACTCAGTTCCCTTATGGGTCATTTAATCTCTATGGAAGGGTTAAAGGTTCTGCTTACACCTTGCTTTTTATTTACATGATAATTTTATAGCTACTATATATCCAGTGATTACCCAGTAAACCATTTTGGGGTATTTTGAATTTTCTTTGAAAAATTACCAATATCCTCCATATACTCTACTGTCTTTTAACTTTTTTTTTTAATTTGTGGTATGTTGGCACAAATACTGTGTAGGATGCATGAGGCAACCTCTGCAGAAACCAAACGCTCGAAGAGGAAGCGCTGTGAAGTTTGGGGAGAAAATCCCAATCCCAGTGACTGGAGGAGAGTTGACGGCTGGCCAGTCGGGCTGAAAAATGTGGGCAATACCTGCTGGTTCAGTGCTGTTATTCAGGTATGACATTTTAGAGAGACAGCTGTGTCTTCTGGAAATAGTTGTTTATTTTTTAAACTGAAATAAAATGTAACTTTAAAAAAATTAAAATTTGATCCTTTGGTTCATGATTTCGATGTCATGGCATGTGCATGACGTGGCCTCCCTCAAATCTTGTTATTATGTAGCGGATTACCTGTCCAGTGTGAAAAAACTTAAAACTCCCAGGCACGGTGGTGCACACCCGTAATCCTAGCTAATTAGAAGGCTGAGGCAGGAAGATTGTAAAGTCAAGGCCAGCCTGGGTAACTAGAGAAACTGTGTCTCAGAATGAAAATAGAGTGGATTTATAGCTCAGTGGTAGAGGTTCCACTCCTAGGTTCCTTTTTTGTTTGTTTGTTTTTGTTTTTTTTTGATACTGGGAATTGAACTCACGAGCCAACTCACGAGCCCTCGCTTGCCAGGCAGGCACTGTGCCGCTGAGCTAAATCTCAGCCCCACTCCTAGGTTCCATACCAGTACTGAAAATAAAAGTTAAAACAGGTAAAACTGGCTAGCATTTCCTGTAGCATTATTGTATTTTGGTCGCTTTTGTGTGTTTTAGATTTAGATATTCTGATGTCTGGGGCTGGGGATTTAGCTCAGCGGCACAGCGCCTGCCTGGCAAGCGTGAGGTCGTGAGTTCAATTTCTGGTACTGGGAAAAAAACAAAAAAAAACAAAAGATATTCTGATGTCTAAATGAGTACTAAGAATGACCTCTGCTATGGTAATATATTAAATGTGTTTAGCGTTAGCCTCTAGTGACTACTATGTGAAGGCAGAGCTGGCATGAACGAGAAGCGATCAGTTATTGAGAAGTTGTTAGAGGCACCTAGCCAGGAGATAAAAGCAGCCTGTGGGAAAGATGGAGCCGAAATTGCAGAAGGAAAGAAGTAAAAACCTCCTTGAGAGCCAGGCTTGGTGGCGCACACCTGTAGTCCTAGGCTGTGCGAGGCTGAGGCGGGAGGATCCCAAGTTTGAGCTCAGCTGTCAGTTCAGTGACTTAGTGAGACTGTGTCTCAAAGTGAATGGGATGGGGTTTGGTTCTGTACAGAGACCCCAGGTTCAGCCCTCAGTACGGCAGAACCGAACCAAACAACAGCAAACAGTCATTGAGAAGAGCAGATTGGTAGGATTTGTTCAACAGCTGATGGGAGAGAGTTGGGAAGGATGCCACTGTTTCTGGCCCAGGTAACCAGGGGGATTACAGTGCCGTTCGGGTTTTAAACACTCGGATTAGGGATGCTCAGCCGTCTGTAAGTATACAGACATCTCAAAAATCCAAGATACCACTGGTTCAGATATTTCAGATGATTGGTTTTCAGTTTGTAGAAGGATTTGTAGAAATTTGAGTCTGCTTGAGGTTGCTGCCTAAGTGAACAATGATGTCCTCCCTCATGTCTTCTTTTTGGAGACAAGGTCTTGCTATGTAGTTCAGACTGACCTCGAACTTGCTTATGTAGGCGAGGCTATCCTCGAACTCATGACAGTCCTTTTGCCTCAGCCTTCTGAGTGCTGGGATTACAGGTGTGTGCTGCCACACCCAGCTCCATGTCCTATTTTTGTGAGGATTTTGTCTTAGCAAAACTCTGAAGCTCTTTTTTTTTTTTGTCTTTGTAAGACAGGGTCTCTGCAGTTCAGGCTGGCTTTGAGTTTACTGTGTAGCCCAGGCTGGTCTCGAACTTGGAATGATCCTCCTGCCTCAGCCTCTTGAATGCTGGGATTACAGGCGTGTGCCACCATGCCCTGGTTTCTGAAGCTCTTAAATGGAGGATGTAATTCATTTAGGCTGGAGGATTTACTGGGTACAAGATGAAAGGACAAAAGGCCACTCTGAGAGTTTAATGAGGGTAGTTAATGACCATAGGTTGAAAGCTAGATTGAGATAGGAAAAAAGACAGGAAGAAACTGATGATCAAGGAGCAGTGAAAAGCCAGCCATGGTGGTACATACCTGTAATCCTGGCCCTCTGGAGGCTGAGGCATGAGGAACGCCATGAGTTTGAGGCCAGCCTGCACTACACTGTGAGACTTGTCTCAAAAAAACAAACAACCGGGTGTGATGGCGCACTCCTGTAATCCCAGCACTTGGGAGGCAGAGGCAGGAGGATCGTTGCGAGTTCAAGACCAGCCTGAGCTATAAAGTGAACTCAAGGCCAGCCTGAACTGCATAGCGAGACCCTGTCTCAAAAAAAACCAAAAAACAAAAAAAAAAAAAAAAAACCTCCAACAAAACAAAGAGCAAGGAGAAACATCAGTTTGCATGAGTCCCTGCTGAAGGCAAGCAATAGATGTCTGGAGGATAATTGAACTAATATGTCAGAAAATGCACTGTGGCCCATGAGAGATTTTCTGAACGTGTGATCTGAGAATTGCATGTTTCAGGTGTTGCTGTGAGTGTGTTGCTGTGTCTGGGCCGGGGGATGTACTTGAGTTTCCTTCCACAGGAACTGGACACCTACTTTATGTCCAGCACTGTTCTAGGCTTTTGAGATATGAGTGAACAAAGCACAGCTGTGACCTTATGGAATTTAAATTCTCATGAAGAGTGATGGGCAATAAACTAAAAACTAATGGATTAACTTTCTAAGTAAATATATATAATATATTAGACTGTGATTGGCCCCATAGAAGAAGAGCAGAGTAAGAGAGCCTGGAATTGCTTCTGGAGAGGTGGGAGCCAGGGGTAACGTAATAGCGGTGTTTGGTAGGTCTCGCTGAGGAGATAATCCTGGCGCTAATGCCCAATGCATAGGAGATGAGGGGCAGAGCTGTTGTGAGTAGAATAAAGACATTCCAGAGAAGGGAACCGCAGAGCCGTGACCCTCAGGTGGGAAGGGGCTCAGTGTGTTCAAGGATCACCCAGGGACCCCACACGGCTGGAGGCTCAGAGCAGAGGGGACCCGCACTGGCACTGGGGTTCAGGTAAGCTGCGAGTCGTGGAGGTTCCCGAGCAGGGGTGGCCCCGGCCCCAGCGTGGAAGGGCTCCTGCTGGCCGCTGCGGGGAGAGCGAGTGAAGTGCAGGACCTCATGCGTTCGTCCTGTGAGTGCTGGTGGCTTGGACCCTGCTGGTAGCCATGGACGTGGTTAGATTCGTGATATATCGTAAGGGCAGAGATTCCCATGGATTGGCTGACTGGATTGGTTCTGTGGGTCCACTTCATGGATTGGTTGACTGAAGTCACCTAGGAGGAACCCACGACTTGGAGTAATAAGAACTTTTACCAGGTTCGAGGCTTCAGTGAATCTGGAGCTTAGTTTTAGTCGTATGAGAGAGGTGGTCAGAAGAAGGTGTTTGGCAGTTGATGGGGAGGGACGTCCTGGAGGCCGGGAGACCACGCACGGTGGTCCAGGTGAGCAGTGGTGGGACGAGGTCAGCGCAGTTGGGTGGGGGTGACAGATGGGCAGGAGGTCGTAAGTACCACCAAGAGGTGCAGTCCAGGGGCCGTGGGACTTACTGGATATGAACGCTTAAGAAGGGGAATAGAGGAGGCCAGGGATGTAGCTCAGTGGCACAAGCGCCTGCCTGGCAAGTGCAAAGTCCTGAGTTAGATTCCTGGTACCCAAAAAGAAAAAAAAAAGGGAAAAGACTCCTATCGTTGTACATTCCAAACTTTGGTGACCAGAGGAGGAGAGGATGTAAGTGATGCGGAGCACACAGGAGGACAGAGGAGGAGTAATGGCACCTGTGAGGAAAGCATAGCGCAGGTCAGAGGCAGAGTGAGGTTACTAAGACTGAGGCCGCCTTCCTCACAGAGCAGAAACTGCGGAGACTCGTAGGGTGGTGGAGTGGGAGTGGAGGTATCAACGTGCGCATGGGGAAAGGAGGGCGCGTCTGGGGCACAGCTGGCCCTTGCAGTGCGGGAAGGAGTGTGGTGGCAGCATGGCCCCGTGCCCAGGCCCTGTCACCCGGCGCGAGAGAGAAGGGTCTCGGCGCCCAGGCAGATGCTGCCCCTCTGACTCTGACGCCAGGGAGCAGGCCTGGGGTCTTGGAGTACAGGAAACTTTTTCAGTTCTGATGGCAAAGTTTTGCCTGTTTTCTGCAAGGACGCTGCTTCTGGAACTGCAGTGTGCAGCCTGGGAAGGTTTTCATTTGAGGAATATTTGGGGACGAGGGGTCACTTTGTGCAAGGGAGTTTTAGAAAATAACTTAGGAAAGATACAGTAGAGAAAGGATGATGTACAAATAATGAAAAGAATTCCTCTCCCCTAGGGGTTCGGCTAGAGGGATGCCCTCTAGAGATGCTGCGGTTCACACCCGCCCCTCCTCCCCTTGGGATCCGACCCAGAGCCCTGGCGCCCTGGCTGCACTGCTAGCCCTTCTATAGAGACAGGGCTCCCGCTAGGTTGTCCAGGCCTTGAAGTTGGGATATTCTGCTTCAGCCTGAGAGTAGCTGAGATTGCAGGCGTGTGCTACTTTGTATAGCTAAAGTTTTTTTTTTTAAAAAATAGTGTTTATGACAGAGTGGAGGGGAGTGAACTCTGCTGTTCTCACTGCCCAGTGAAAGTTATAAATCTCTGCTGCTGAGCCCATCCTTCCTCCCACAGACAAAACCACACATGGATGTAGCCCCAAACAGTATGGTCTTCTGTTTTTCTGGAACCCTTTTTCATACAAAATATATTTCTGAGATTTATATCTATTGATACATAGTTCTTGCTAATTCATTCCCACGTGGTATAGTACTCTACTATTTATTTACTTATTCATTCATTCTTTCATTTATTTTTGAGACATGGCCTTGCTTTGTTGTTCAGGCTGGCGCTGAACTATGTAGCCCAGGTTGGCCTTGAACTCACCATGTACCTCCTGCCCCAGCTCCCAAGGACTGGGATTATAGGCTGTGCTATCTACACCCAGCTAGTACTCTATTTTATAGAAACATTTTTTGCAATATTATTTTTAATGACTGCATAATTATCTAGTGTGTAAATGTAGTATAGTTTATTTAATGTATTCATCTTCGGAGGTCTTAGTGTGTTTCTATTGTTTTACCTAAAGGATTAACAGTTTTGTTACTTTTTTTTGTACCAGGAATTGAACTCAAGACCTTGCACTTGCCAGGCAGGTGCTGCTGAGCTAAATCCCCAGCCCAGTAGCTTTGTTCATTTTTATATAGCCAGTATTATTTCCTTGGAAGTAATAGAATCAGTAGGTTAACAGTTACACGTGCTTTTAAACGTGAATGAAGTTAGTGTGAAAGAAAACTTTTTCTGCAGTTATCTTAAAAGACAGGATAAATTCCTTCCTTTCCTTCAGTCTCTCTTTCAGTTGCCGGAGTTTCGAAGACTTGTTCTCAGCTATAGTCTGCCACAAAACGTACTTGAAAATTGTCGAAGTCACACGGTAAGTTGGTGCTGAGAGGTTTCTTCACTGTCACTTAGTTCCTTTCATCCCAAAGGCTCTTTTTATTTTTATTTTTTAAACTGGGAATTGAACCAAGGACCTTTTTACTGGCCTGTGCCGCAAACCCTTTTCTGTTTTTTAATTTGAGACAAGGTCTCGCTAAGTCACTCACTGTTATCCAGGCTGGGCTCAAACTTGTGACCCTTTTGCCTAGAAAGGATGACAGGCCCGCATTGCCAGGTTGTCTCACTGTGTAGTTCAGGCTGCTTCGAACTCACAGCAGTCCTCCTGCCTCAGCCTCCCGAGTGCTGGGATTACAGGTGTGCACCACCATACCCAGCATTAAATTTTTGAGTAAAGGTGAAAACTAGGGTACTTTGGCTTGTGCTAATATTTGTTTTCATTTCTCTCTGTTTCTGCAATGCTTAACCCAGGGCTTTGCATGTTAGGCAAGTGCTCTACCATTGAGCTGTCTGCCATGCTCGTCTGTCTTCATTTCTGAAGGACTTTTTCCTTCTTTGTGACACAATTAAAGGTTTGCAAAAAATGTAAATATTAAGTTGATATAAAATTAGAAAAACAGTTTCAAGAGTGTGATGAGCCAGCCTGCCTGCCTCAGCAGTGCGGCCCTGGGTGGGGTGACTCCGAACACCTGTGTGTCACTGTGTGCTCGATATCCTTCCTTCTGCCATTGGCCGCGCAGGCCAGGGGATGGAGAAGAGCGAGCTGGTGCACCCAGACCTGCTCAGAGGAGATTCCAGTCTGCGCTGGCTGCAGGAGGCTGTGCCCGCTTGGTGTTCTCGCTGTTCCTGGATTTTACATTCGTGTAATGCGTTCTCCTAACAGAAGAGGGGGCTCAGCTTCAGCAAATGGAGCTCTCCATCTTTCCCGCAGTCTTTCTGACGTGTAGGTAGTTATTCTTGAGTTTAGAGTAATTCCCTGTCCTTATCAGGGTCCTTGTGTTGTACTTGAGGCCTGACTGACTTAGACCTAGCTAGATACGATTTGCAGAGTGATTGCTGACAGCTTGTCTCATGTTTATCTTCCAAATAAGACGTTGTGTGAGTCAGTACACGTGGCTGTGTTTTCTGTAGGAAAAAAGAAATATCATGTTTATGCAAGAGCTTCAGTATTTGTTTGCTCTTATGATGGGATCAAATCGAAAATTTGTAGACCCTTCTGCAGCCCTGGATCTGTTAAAGGGAGCATTCCGATCATCCGAGGAGCAGCAGGTAAAGAATCTTTTTCTCTTGTTTTCCCTCAAACTGTCAAGTGTGCATTCATGCCTCACTAATGTGTCTGTGATAGTAATGTTACCGTGATGTTGCTTATTTCATCTCACAAGCTGTAGGTGCCATATTTTTGCCCGTTATTTTGCGTACAAAACAGGTGGTAGGAGAGCAAGCATGTGCATGAAGAGTGTTACCGAGAGGCCTGACAGTTCTGGAGGGAAGGAGAGATAGTAGAACAGCAGACGTACATAGAGGCTGTGAAATAGAAAGGAAGAGTTTAGAAAATACTGCAATGAGCCCTAGCAAAAGGTCGCCAAGAAAAGTCAAGTCCTTTGTTCTTTGCTTTGGGGTGACCCAGGTAGAGCTGTTTTTTTTTTTTTTTTTTTTTTTTTTTTTTTTTTAAACAGGGTGTCGCTATGCAATTCAGGCTGGCCTTGAGCTCACTTTGTAGCCCAGGCTGGTCTCGAACTCACGATGATTCTCCTGCCTCGGCCTCCCAAGTGCTGTAGAGCTCTTAGTTTTAAAACCATCTAAGGTAGTGCTGGCAAACCTTTTAGATAGCTTTCAGTGATATGAACAGCCCGCTGTGGCCTGCATGCCATGGGTTCGCCACCACTGCCCTGGGTACATCCTAGTGGTGAATCAGTTGCCTAGCATGAATGGGGCACCGGATTTGATCCCCAGTACCACGTTAAGAAAAAAAAAAATTCCCATTTCTGTAGAAGCAACAAAACCTGAGTTTAGCAGCTTTTCTGAGTACTTTTTCTCTTTTTGACATTAATACTTGCCCTTTCCGTACCTCTACCTAAACATTAAAGTTATCATGATTGGATCAACTTCTTCAAGAATTTCCATCCCCCATTCAAATCTCACGTTGGTCTAGAAGACTACAGTCTGTTCTTTGGACTTTTTAGAAAAGACTTACTTGGAAGATTTTGTTTGGTTTTTCTGTATCATAGAAGTTGTGGCTGAAAGTGGTAGAGTGTCAGTGTCCTTGTAGGCACAACTTAGAAGTTACGGAACGTACTTGTGTTTTGTGTCTAGAAGGTAGGTTCCATCATTCTTCTACCTGTGGTATTTGTTTTCATGGTAGTAGAGCTCAATTGTTGGTGGGATTAAGGGCAAAGTTTCATTTCCCTGCGTGTGGTGTTCCATCTAACTCTTCTGCAATTTGTGCCTCTCTTCCAGCAAGACGTGAGTGAGTTCACACACAAGCTCCTGGACTGGCTGGAGGACGCATTCCAGCTCGCTGTTAACGTGAAGTGAGTGCTGAGGGTTGGTTTGTGCCTCCTTCTGACAGTGGCTCTGGAGATTATACTTTTCTCAAGTAGAAATTGCTGATTTTAATCAAACTTCACAGGATAACCATGAGCTAGTCCTTACTGTGTTTGGCTTTCCCTCTCTGTGGATGAAGGCGATCTCATGAGCATACAGCTATTTTACTGAAAGGACCCTAACTCTTAACTTCGTATTTGTTCAAAAAGTGGAACTCACCCATTACTTGAGTCTGTATCTGGCTCTTTGTGATTGATGAAAGTGAATTATTTTCATTTTTAAATGATGCTCAGGCTTTGTGTAACACATATTTGATCCAAATGATACAGAAGTGTCTTTCTTTTTTACAAGCAGCAACCCCAGGAACAAATCTGAAAATCCCATGGTGCAGCTCTTCTATGGTACTTTCTTAACTGAAGGGATTCGTGAAGGTAAATTCTCTGTCCTTAATTCTTTTTGTTTTTTTGGTACTGGGAATCAAATTTAGGATCCTGTTCTTGCCAGGCAGTTGCTGTGTCACTGAGCTATGTCCTTGGCCCCTCTGTCCTTAATTGTAGCCTATGGCCACACCCTTAGTACTGTGTCCTTTTGAGGGGGGACAGTATAATGAATAGACTTGAGAGTCAGACGGACTTAGGTCTAAGTACTGATTCTATTAATATCTGGGTCATTGTGGACAAACTGAGCCTCTGGGTCCTCAGTCTCTCATTTGTAAAGTGGTACAGTCTTTATTTCAGAATTGTTACATTAGATTGTATAATGTTTGCACAGCCCAATTCTAGCATTCATGTCAAATACGCAGCAATGTTTCTCAGTTTTCTCTGTGTAGCTTTGCTGATGTAATATCTAATATCAAGTGATTTTATTGAGGTGAAGTGCCAGAAATGCTTATCTACTCTAAGCTGCATGATGGACACTTTTTTGTAACTATGGAAAATTTTTAATATGCACAAATACAGTGATGATCAAAACCCTCATGATGCCCAGCATTATGGCACACACTCGTAGTCTCAGCTACTCAGGAGGCTGAGGCAGGAGGATTGTAAGTTAGAGGCTGCCAACATGTCCAACATAGACTTTGTGTCAAAATAATTGTTTTTAAAGGGCTGACGAGTTAGCTCAGTGCTAGAGCACTTGTCTGCCATGCCCAAGATCCTAGATGGAGTCCCCAGAACTGGGCGGTGGGGGGACGAAACCAGGCAGTCATCAGCTTACAGCTGCAGCTGGTCATTTCCTTTCTTTGGTACCAGGAATTGAGCTTGCCAGGAAGGAGTTGCACTGCTGAGCTCATCCCGGTCCACCGTTTCCATTCTAAGTCCTTACTCTAATGTTCTTATTTTATTTTTAAAGTGTTTACTTATTTATTATTGGTATTCGGGTTTGAACCCAGAACCTAATGCTTGCTAAGTGTGTGCTCTACCGCTGAACTATACTCCCAGGCCCTATTAATCTTTTGAAAACAGTGTAGCACTGTTACTACAAAAAATAGCATTTGAAAGTATCAGAAATCTGCCAGTATTCCAATATCCTGATTTGTTCTGTTTAATTAAAGAAAAAGAGTTTGTTTTAATCAAGATTCAAATGTGCTTCATTTATGATTGGTTGATACATCTTTTTTGCGGGGGGGTGGGTACTGGAAATCCAACTCAGGACCTTGCGCTTGCCCGGCAGGCACTTGTGCCGCTGAGCCATATCCCCGGCCCAGTTGATAGATACATCTTTTCAGCTTCTTCAGTATCTGTAAGCTCTACCTCTTTCCGCTTGAAATACACTTTTTGGAGAAACTATTTTATTTGTAATACTTTCCAGAATCTGAAGTTTTGCTGCTTGCATTTTCGTGAAACATATTTAGTGTATTTTAACGTAGTCTTCTCCACGTTTTGTAAATTGGTAGTTTGACTCCACTAGCTAAGGCAAGACCAGCGCACTAAGGGCGGGAAAGTCTGTGGGCGGGAGGGGCGGGATGGCTGGCATCTTTCTTTCTGCACTTTCTGCAGTTGTGAATGGTCCACGCTGGTCCTACTGATTGCCATCCAGGCTTCGGTGCATTTCTGTCCAGGTCTCAGGAGATAGCTGAATTGAAGATGTTGTCTCTGGGGATCCAGAAAATAGGCTTTCGAAGCTGTAGTGATGCCTTTAAAAATCAATCTCTTTCTTTGCCCAGGAAAGCCCTTTTGTAACAACGAGACCTTTGGCCAGTATCCCCTCCAGGTAAACGGTTATCGCAACTTAGACGAATGTTTGGAAGGGGCCATGGTGGAGGGTGACATTGAGCTTCTTTCTTCTGATCATTCAGTGAAGTATGGACAAGAGGTAAGGTGGATATTTTTACCTGCTGTGCAGTGACAAAGCCAATTAAGTAGGACTGAACTTTCAGGCAAACTAATTTCCCATTACCTTAGGTAACTTATTGCTGAACAGAATTTGCCTTAAGTGTGTCATTGGTTCACATAAATCATTGAGTCAGTGCTTTGATAAATTCTTTACTGCAACTATGAATTTGAGTTAATCATGTAAAGGTTGTATGCTGCTTCTGATGTTTTAAGTATGATCAAGTTTCTCTCTTTCTGTTGAAGCCTACCTGTACCTGAGTAGGGAGAACCCACTGCCTCCATATTTTCGGAGGGTAAAAGTACAGTGATTAACTCCTATGGTATGCCATTTAGAATATTTTCCCTATTACACTATTTATTGTTCTCGATTGTAAATTCTGCCTTTGCTTTTACAGTTTTTGAATTTCATTTTTATTTCTTTACATGGGGGTTTCTTATTGTTTTAGTGGGTTGGAAAGGGAGGACGTTAAAGGGGGAGCAAGAGTAATTAATATCTCGAAATTCCAGCTGGATAAGCAATAGTGATAGTGTTCGTAGCATACGTGTCCATACTACAGAGTTGGGCTTGTTTGTTTTCCTTTCGTTCTACATTTTGAAGCAGATTGGGGTCTATATGTGAGTCCACAGGAATTAATACAGTAGAAGAGCTTTCTTGAATTAAAATAGATCCTAAAATGAGCCTTGTGGAAATACATTAGCTGTAGAAAGTGTCGGGGCTTGGAGAAAGCTGGCCGCCCCTCCAGCTTTTTGAGGAAGGAGCTCACTCCTGGCGGGAGGCACAGGATCTGTGCAAACTCGGTGCATTCCCTTATGAAAGAGAAGGAAGGGTCACTAGCTGCTCAGAACTGTGTCCAAGGATGGGAACTCTGTAAAAATAAAAGAAGAAAAGGCATTATGCCTGTTTATTTAGATTTAGCCCTGAGATAAGCAGACCTCCTGGACTCACCGTGTCTCAGCAGGGCATCCGACAGAACTGTTCATACCTTTGGAAAAAGGTTCATGGGAACCTCTGGCACATAGGTGAATTGAACAGAATTACCTTACCTAGCGTAGTGACAGTTGAAATCTTCTTTGTAAGTCAGTGTTTTCTTTCCTTGAAACTGAAGTAGTGGGACCAGCATTTTTGTGATACATCTGTTTATTGGAACTCAAGAGATTTTTTTTTTGTTTCTTCAGAAACGTGAGAGAAACAGTCATGAAGCTATTTCAGGTTTCCTTTTTAGACATAGACGTAAAGGAGATTTGGGTTATGGTTAATGGAGTGTAAATAAGTAGTGGATATTATATACCTGGTGTTCATCTTTTCAGGTCAGTTCTGGAGACAGTTTCTCCTTAGTTACATGCTGGTTAGACCGTAATTCCTAATTCTTTCCTTACGCTGTTTTCTTCAGGGTGTGAACCTCCTCTGAATTCTGATGACTGTTTAGCGAATGAGTAGCATGGATACTTGCTTAGGCATACGCAAGGGCGGTTGTGCTAAGGATGATGAGGGAATAAAGTGTCATTTATTGACTAGCCAGTAAATTTAGAGTCTTGAAGACTTTAATCATATTTTCTAAAAGAGCATGATTTCAAGTACAAACACTTTATTTTTTTGCTTTAGTATTTTATTTAAATATAAATTCTCTACAGAAACAGTAAATTCTTGATGAGGGATGTTTTAAATGTGGCTCTTGGTGTTTGCTAAAGTTAATTTCTTTTCCCCCACACTTCTACCCTGGACAAAGCGTTGGTTTACCAAGCTACCTCCAGTGTTGACCTTTGAGCTCTCAAGATTCGAGTTCAATCAGTCCCTTGGGCAGCCAGAAAAAATTCATAATAAGCTGGAATTTCCTCAGATTATTTATATGGACAGGTGAGTCCTGGTTGATTGTTTTCGAGATGTCTTGCAACAGTGGCAATGAGCATGTAGGGTGCAGTGCGTAGGAATCACTCAGAGATCTTGATAGTATAAAAGTTGGGATTCAGTGGTTTGGGGTCTGGGCCCAAGAGTTTGGTGAGGGGGGTGTGGTGGTGCACTCCTGTAATCCCAGCGCTCAGGAGGCTGAGGCAGGATCACTGTGATTTCGATGCCAGCCTGGGCTTCGTAGTGAGTTCAAGGCGAGCCTAAACTAAAATAAAAAAAGAAAAAGAAAAAGAAAAGAGAAGAAGTGCAAACTCTTTTTTAAAATGTGTTTATTTTAATAAAGATATAACATTAAATATTTTTAAAAATTAATATTTTGGGTTTTTTGAGGCGGGGTTTCGCTATGTAGTTCAGGCTGACTTGAACTCACTTTGTAGCCCAGGCTGGTCTTAGACTTGTGGTGATCCTCTTACCTCACTCAGCCTTCTGCACCAGGCCTAGGAATTCGCATTTCTGTGAAGTTCCTACGGCAGTGATGGCGAACCTTTTAGAGACCAAGGGCCCACACTGCGGCCCCAAACTGACTGACTTCTCACAGAGTGCCAACAGTGCGGTTAAGCCCGAGTGTTCACTGCTGGGGGCGTGCCGGAGGTGGGGGGACTTGGCTTGCAGCAAGAGAGGGCTCTGTGCGCCTGCTGCAGCACGCATGCCATGGGTTCACCACCCCTGTACCTGGGTAATGCTGGTGATGCTTCTGATCTCTGGGCTCCAAGGGGTTTAGGTGGGCACCTTGCTTGTGCTTAGGGCTGAAGAATAGTACGTAGATCAGCTGCAGTTCTTTCTATTCTGAATACTGTCTGTATTCTTGGAGTGGGGGAGTCCTAGAGAGCCTCACTTTACAATCCTTCAGTTCCCCCACACCCCCATACCGGGAATCGAACTCATGACCTCGCGCTTGCCAGGCAGGCGCTGTGCCGCTGAGCTGAATCCCCAGCCCCCCACAATCCTTCAGTCTTTTCAGAGTTTTGTTTACTGAGGTATAGCTTTCATCTACAAAACAGGCCACCATTGGTAGATGGATGAGCACTGAATTCTGTCAGATGTAGACAGACAAGTAACCACCGTCACAGTTGCAGTAGGGAACAGTTCCATCAGCCAGGAGATTCCCTGAGGCCCTTAGTGGTTGGTCCCTTTCTTCCCCCGCAGGCTCTGGCATCCACTGAGCAGCAGTCTGACCGCACCATATCCTGTCTTTCTAGAATACTGTATTAGTGACGTTAAAATGTACCCTTATGCTAATGCTGCATTGCCTTGATTACAGTGGCTGGATATCATGTCTTTTTGGTTTTTGTCTTTTTGAGACAGGGTCTTGTTATGCAGTTCAGGCTGGCCTTGAGCTTATTTTGTAGCCTAGGCTGATCTCGAAGTTGCAACAATCCTCCTGCCTCAGCCTCCCAAGTCCTGGGATTATAGGCGTGTGCCACCATGCCTGGCTTATTTTATGTCTTAATATCAGAAAGCATCGTAAGTGTTTCGGGTGATTCTAGCTCTTTGCATCTCTATATACAGTTTTTCAACTTGTTGGCTGCTACCACATGACTTGGGATTTTGATTTGAATTGTGTTGCACCCACGGATCAATTCAGGGGAAAACGACATCTTAATAATGTCGAGTCCTGCCTACAGCCATGCCACCCTGAATGCGTCCAGTCTCATCTGATGAACCCTTCAGTCCGTGAACGTGATACGGCTGTTTTTTTTTTTTTTCCATATCATTGTTGGTTTTTCAGCAACGCCTTGTAATAGTCAGTGTATGAATATTGCACATGGCTGATTAAATTTATCCCTAAATAAACCATGCTTTGCATTACTGTCCAGCTGGGTGTGGTGGCACAAACCTGTAATCGCAGCACTGTGGGAGACTGAGGCAGGAAGATGACCCATACTGGGGGAAAACATCGCTATCCATTTGTTCTTTATAAGTACACAGAAATGCAGCTGATAGTTTTCTTTTAGGCTGGCCTTATATCCCTCGGCTTACTGCTCAGTCACTGACTCTGATGCGTTTGTACATAGTCATGTCATCTGCATCTAAAAGGCAGCATTACTTCTTCCTTTGCTGTGCCCTTTTTCCTTTTTTCTGTTTCTTACTCTATTGCCCTGGCCATGCCTTGAGTAAAACACTAAACAGAAGTAGAGGAGGTGGTCACCCTTGCCTTGTTCCTGATCTTACGGGGAGTCCGTCAATCTTGCGCTATTGTGTATGATACCAGCTATGGGTTTTTCGTAGATGCTCTTCCCCTGAGTGAAGTAGTTTCCTTGTGTCTCTGCTTTGCTGAGATTGTCTACATTAACATTTTAAAAGATAAATGTGTTTGTCACTTGTTTAGGTACATGTACAGGAGCAAGGAGCTTGTTCGAAGTAAGAGAGAGTGCATTCGAAAGTTGAAGGAAGAAGTAAAAGTTCTGCAGCAGAAATTGGAAAGGTGAGTGTGGGCACTGCTGTGCCTGGAAGTATTGAAGGTAGGTCAGGTAACGTGTGCATTTAGAGTTTAAGTAGTAACAAGGGTATTTTGTAAAGGAGCTGTGAAAATCTTCTTCTAATTGTGTTGTATCTTTCAAGACCAGCTAATGTATGTAGCTTTTCACTGTTTCTCTCATCCCTGCTGTCGTCTTTATACACATGAGAGACTGTGACAGTGCTCCATTTTACCTGTCTTGGAAAAGCAGTTTCTGAAGTGTGCAGAAAAAGTAAAAATAATCCTGCTTTGCGTGGAATGAATGGCACTAGTTAAAGGGGCTGATTTTTCTGACCTATACAAAGTCCTTTCTCTCATAGAGGAATCTTTGCTTTTTTGTTTTGTACCATTTCTGTGCTATCACCCTGATTTCGTCAGGAGTTCACTGTGATTTGTTTTTAGTCTGGATGTTTCCTGTTCACTCAGCATTTATGAAGGAAATCTCACACACTGTCAGTGGCTTTTTTCCCCATCGTGTGTTTGACAGTTTCCCTTCTGCCACCATCCACCTCTGCCCACCCCACTGCTAGGTCTCTAGTTACCCTGAGGGGCAGTAGTTCCCATCTCTGCCCAAAGTGGACCTTGGCCCCGGAATCCGCCTTCCCCTTTCCTCTCACGCAGGAGCAGCTTCTCCCTGTGCATTGTGGCCAGTCACGTCACACACGGTCTCTGAGTGGAGATTTGCCTCCTTGGGTACTGTCCTGGAAGTCTTTGCCAGGACTTTGAGGACAGCAGTATTATACTTGAAAGGTTTTAGTAAGACTCTGTAAGGCTAGAATTTTAACTTATTTTTATAGAACCAATAATGTTTTGTAGCTCAGAAGGAAGCAGGAACCAACGAAGCATTATGGTTTATCTGGATTTTAAAAGTACATGACCATTTTCCTTTGTATCATATTATTTTTGTTTTAGAATAGACTTTGAATTTCAGATTTTGGGGGGGCAGTTTTTGAGGCAGGGTCTCATTATATAGTACAGGTGGGCCTTGAAGCTGCTTATGTAGCCCAGGCTGGCCTTGAACTCACTGTGATCTTCCTGCTTCAGCCTCCTGAGTACTGGGATTACAAGTGTGCACTACCATGCCTGGCTAAATTTCAGATAATCTTAATTTTTAATTTTTTAAATGTTATACAGTTTATCTGGTTGTGTATGTATGACACACTCTTAGCAAAATATATGAACACCTGTTAACTGGTACTGTAAGGTAGTAGACCTAAGGTGGAAGTACGTGACTTTTACAGGTATTTTATGCTATTTTGTATTTGGCTTTTCTTACCAAGTGCATGCATTACTTTAGCACACATTTGTTTTTTTGTTTTTTT